TTATATATATACAGTCCCTGGTTAAATTATTAGACGCACTTTAAGATTCTATGCAGAATCTTAATTATCAGGTGATGCAATACAGCACTTGTTTACGTTCGTGTAACAATGGGTTAACATTGTAATGCAATACGTTAAAAATAAATACAAATAGAAAGTCTATAAAAAATCTCCTGAATAAAAACCCATTACAAGTATGTTTGAATATAAAAGTATTGCCTATAAACTCGTGCAAAACATGTCATTATTAAAACACTGCAATGCGTCTAAATATTTGGTCTAATTATTACAATATACTAATATAATACCTAATATAATAAATATTCTATGCACATAGGACAACGTGACTTTTAAAAAGTAACGAGTAAAAGTACGAGTATTTTTAAAAAAAGTAAAAAGTTCTCATTTTTAAAAGTAACGAGTAAAAAGTACAAGTAAAAGTACAAGTACTAAGCAAAAAAAGTAACGATTTAAAAGTACATTTCTAGGAAATGGAGAATTCAAAGTAACCTAAAATTTTATTGAATAATATTCTTATGTTCTTTAATGTTTTTGCGAAATTGTTGTTATTTATTTAATTATTTTTAATTTTGAAAGTTATGGATATTAATTTATTTTTAAATTCGGAAGAATATTGTAATATAATCGTATAATATAATTTCAAAATCAAATATAATTTTAATATCAAACTTTTCATGGATTTGAACGAAAAAGAAATTTTATCTATTGATTTTAATTTTCAGTTTATTATTTTTATTTATTCAAATTACCATTGATTTAAAATTGTTTTACTCTCTAGAAATGCGTTTTAAAAGCACAAACAAAGCAAACACGGGGGCTACAAATAGCTTTGTGATCTTTGAGCTAGTAAAAATTAATTGAATGTGCAGTATAAGTTGAAACAGAAAGTATTTAAACACGAAATTAGCTGTGAATGCATATATTTGCACATTAATTTTATAAATTAAAAAAACATAAGCATTTTTTTAAAATTTTTTTTTAGAAAGCTTACCGAGCTTTAGAAAAAAGTAACGATTTCATTCGATATTTCCGTTACAAATACTTGTACTTTAACGAAATACTTGTAACGAAAGTACAAGTAAAAGTACTAAATTTAAAAAGTAATGAAGTACAAGTAAAAGTACGTACTTTTTACTTGTACCGGCGGTACAAGTAACGAAAGTAAAAGTACTGCCATATATGGT